AAAATGACATGGAAGAAGAATATGGAGATGATACACCAGGCAACATGAATGTACTGGATGTAATGGAGCCCAGGGAAGAATTTACTGGCGATACAGTTGCTTCCCAAATGGGCAGTGAAACTACCAGTGTTGGAGTTTCACAGTTGGAGGCGGAAAATGAGCCCCTCCATGATGAAGTTGGGATGGTGGAGAGGGGGGTCGGAGGAGCTCCCTCCCCTCCTTCTTCTTCTTCTTCTGCTCACATGGAGAACATGGATCGAGAAATGCAATATGACATTTCTCAAGAGCATCTGCCATCTTATCAACCTACAAAAACAGCTACATTACGCAAACAAATAAGGTCCTCTGACATGGACACAGATCCTGATGTTGATCTCTCCCTTTTTATAAGGGACAGAAGGAAAATTAATACAAGCGCAAATAAGATAAGCAAAAAGAAAAGAAACAAAGATGATGTTTAAATTATTCTGCGTGTTTAGTTTCCTTTTCATGCTTCTTCTCTCGCTTAATGACCGGGGGCTCCGCAAGGAAGAAAAAGCATCTGCAGTCATATTTCAGTCTCAATTTGATATTTTATGTTTACAGGAAACTAAATGGGATTGTATTAAGGAAGCTGAAATAGCATCCAAATGGGGAGGGGAAATGTTCTCTTCTATATCTAGTAACACTTCGGGAGGAGTGGCTGTTTTTCTAAAGAAAGGTTTGTTCCACCGTAGCCAGTTGGTTCAGAAAGATAAAGAAGGGAAAATAATTGTAATAGATTTCTGTAAAGACAATAAAAAATATTGACTTATTAATATACATGCACCAAACAATGTGTCACAGAGAAAGCAGTTCTTTTATGATTTAAGGAAATTGATAACAATAAATTGCATCATAATAGGTGATTTTAATGTGTTCCTTACAAAAGCTGACATATCCTCAAATTGAAATTTTCCTGAAGATACCAGCAGGAGTATAGTATTTGACATCATTTCTAATAATAGTTTTGTAGATCTCTGGAGGCTTTTTCATCCTGGAAAAAGGCAATTTACCAGAAAACAGATTGTATTAGGGTCACTCAAACAATCAAGAATAGACCTGTGTCTGATGTCGTCCTCTCTTGTCTCCGAGGTGTCTTCCTGTCTCATCCGAGAGAATGCTTGGAGTGATCATTCCTTCCTGATGGTTGAGATGGGGCGAGGCATTAGAAATGGGGGTCTCTGGTGTCTGAATGCTGCTCTTCTCCAGGATGTGATCTACAGAGGTAAGATTGGTGTCCTGCTGGAGACCCTGACTGAGGAGATGGATCACACCAGCAACCTGTTAGAATGGTGGGATCAGGCAAAACAAAGAATCAAAAACATTACAATTAAATACAGCAAGCAGAAGAAATGGAAGGAACTTCAACACGAGTGTAATCTTAGAAGACAACTCAATATTGAACTAGATCTTTTAGAAAACGATAAAAATAAAGATATCACAAATTACATTTTGATCAAGAAGCAGTTAGATCAAATAGAGATAAATAAATGTCGAGGAGCCATAATTAGGAGTAAAGCCAGGTATTTAGCAGATGGAGAAAAATCTACTGCTTTCTTTCTGGCACAGGAAAAACGCAACCAAATTAAATCAACAATAAATGAACTGATAAGAAATGATGGAGAAAAAGTAACAGACATCACAAGCATTTTAGAAACTATTCAATCCTTCTATTCACGACTTTTCACTAGTGAAAACATTCCTGAACATAAAATAAATGAGGTTGTTGGTGTGATTCAACCCTCCCTTTCTCAGGATGACACGCTCTGCTGTGATGCTCCTATAACTGAAGAAGAAATTCAACATGCCATTGATACATTAAATCAACATAAAAGTCCAGGAAATGATGGCATTTCTGCAGAATTCTATAAACAATTCAAAACCCAAATCAGTAAAATACTGTTAAAAGTTTTTACTGTCATGGAGCAAACAGGATGCACGCCCAGGACTTTTGCACAAGGTGTCATAACCATTGTTTATAAAAACAAAGGTAATCAAAACGATCTAGAAAATTACAGACCCATCAGTTTACTAAACACGGATTACAAAATATATGCAAAAATACTAGCAAATAGGTTAAAGGAAGTAGTGAGCAGCATCATCAGCCCATCTCAAGCGTACGGTATTCCTCAAAGAAACATCTCTGATACAATATTGTCATTAAATCATACAATCAAAACCATGTCAGATTCCCAGGGCATCCTTTTCAGTGTAGATTTCAGCAAAGCTTTTGATCGTGTGGAACACAATTTTCTTTGGGCAGTTCTAAACAAATTTGGTTTTGGTCAGTTATTCATCAATAGATTACAATTATTATATGCTAACACAGAAAGTAAAGTCAAATGTAATGGTCATTTCACAGATTATTTCCGTTTACATCGATCAATCCGACAGGGGTGTCCTTTGTCCTCCTTGCTCTACAGCCTGGTGGCTGAGCCCATCGCCATCTTAATTAAACAGGATAAAAACATTCAGGGAATAACTTCACCACTAGGTGGAGTTAGTAAAATATTTCAGTTTGCAGATGACACTACAATCACAGTTGTAAATGAAGATAGTCTGACTTTGGTCTTAAAACATCTACATGATTATGGTTCAGCTTCTGGTTAAAAAATAAACACCTCAAAATCAGAGATCATGTATTGTGGGGGGGCGGCTCGGACGCTGGGAAGATGGGACTTCAGGGTTGTGGAGGACACAGTCAAGGTCCTGGGCGTGTACCTTGGTAAGCAGTGGAGAGCAGCAAGAGATGAGACCTGGAAAAACATTGTCATTAAAGTCCAAAGACAACTTAATTTGTGGAAGCAAAGGAAACTTACCCTTAAGGGTAAAATAGTTATTGTCAACAGTCTAATTATTTCAAAAATCATTCATCCTCTTAGTGTTTATGACCTCCCAAATTATATACTCACCAAATTAAACAGCGAGATTTCCACTTTCATTTGGAAAAGCAAAAGAAATCTAGTTGCTCATAAAACCTTGATAGCTCCGTATAAAGAGGGAGGCCTCAAACTTGTTGACATTTTATCAAAAAAACAAGCTATGAGACTCAAACTCATAACCAGGTTTTTGACTTCATCTACTAAGCATGTCTGGTATGAGTATTTTCAGTTCTGGTTGTCCTCATTTGGAACAAGAAATGTCTTTAATCTGTGCTCTCTTTCCAGACCACAACATTTACCACAAACAGATCAATTTTATTCTGAGTGTTTAGCTGCTTGGGCAAAAGTAAGACCACGTTTGACAACTGCTGTTAAGTACAGGTCTCTCCTCTTGCTGCCGATCTTTAACAATCCTGAAGTGGTTTATGAAGGCAGGATGCTAGATTTTCCATCCTGGAGAAGAGCTGGCATTTACACTTTTGGGCAGGTACTGAATGATCAATGTTCGGTTGATATTAATAAAATTTTCACTTCTTTCAGAAATGCTACAATATCACTAAGACAGAACATCGTCCGTCAAAATTGTCAAAAGATCCAAGCAGCCATACCTTTCCAGTGGTCCTCAGTCATTGACAGGAGAGGACAAAATCAGCTGGTGCAGGATGATGCCCCAACGTTCTTGTTGTCGATAGCTGACCAAAGACAAAACATCCACTCAGTAACTACCAAAAAATGGTATTGCATTCTCGTTTCACAAATATTACAAAAACCAGCAGCCCACAAACAGTGGATAAGAATGTTCCATAATCAACCTGTTCAACATATTTGGTCAAACTTACACAAAAGCCTTACACATCAAAAAGCTAACAATACAGATTTCTTAATAAGACACAGAAGGATTTTTACGGGCGTCATCCTGCATCAAATTAACAAGGATGTTTATGGCAGAGATTGCACAGTTTGTCTTTCAGGCCCAGAGACACTGGAACATCTTTTTCTCTACTGCCCGAACTGCAACCTCTTTTGGGACAAGATTGGAAAACTGCTGGATGACGTCTCATCAAGCTTAAGGAAAGACAAGCACAACTGGGACTGGTTAAGACTGTTTGGACTCACACAACCTCATGTAAATTTAAACAAACATCAATACATTCTTTGTAATGTCATTCTCTCCATAGCTAGGCATTCCATTTACATCTCCAGGAACTATGAACTCTACGAGCACAAGAATATCAACCGCTGGAAATTATTCACTGGACTGATGCAGGAACATTTAAGGACAGTTAACAACATCAACAAGGACCGCTGCAAGGAAATATTTGGACCACTTCTCAACAGAAAATACAGTATAGAATGGACTTTATGAATAATGAATAACTCTGATTTGATTTTGTTTTTTTGTTTTTTGTGTGTGATTTTTATTTTGTATGGCAAATATCTTCTGTTTTTGGTATATTTCGAATTATGTTGTAAATTTTTCTTTTAAGTAATTTTTTATAATAAAAGACAAAAAAAAAAAAAAAGAACGCTAAGCAGGGTCGGGCCTGGTTAGTACTTGGATGGGAGACCACCTTGGAATACCTGCTGGTGCTGTAAGCTTTTTGGCCGCATCAAGGTTTCATATCAGGGATCACAGAGCCCTTAATTTTCCCAAGTCATGCTGCTATACCAGGGGCCCACACAGCCTGCAGGCGTGTACTGCATGGTTTAGTCCGTGGGGGGGTGTTTAAGAGTGGGCCCACAGGACCTCCTGGAGGTGAAGGTTCCTGGAGGTGGTCAAGTGGTGCTTGTTGGCCCAGAGTGGACTGTGTTTCTCTGGGGAGGAGAGTTGGAGACTGTCAGCCCTGATGTGGTGGATCATGCAGAGAGGGGGAGCAGCGGGGCCGATAATTAAGCTCTCTGCTGGGAAGACCAGTGGGGAATCTATTGGTACTTGGATGGGAGACCACCTTGGAATACCTGCTGGTGCTGTAAGCTTTTTGGCCGCATCAAGGTTTCATATCAGGGATCACAGAGCCCTTAATTTTCCCAAGTCATGCTGCTATACCAGGGGCCCACACAGCCTGCAGGCGTGTACTGCATGGTTTAGTCCGTGGGGGGGTGTTTAAGAGTGGGCCCACAGGACCTCCTGGAGGTGCACGTTCCATATCAGGGATCCAAAACCCCTTAAAATTTTTGAAGTCATGCTGCCATACCAGGGCCCCAGACAGCCTGCAGGCGTGTACTGCATGGTTTAGTCCGTGGGGGGGTGTTTAAGAGTGGGCCCACAGGACCTCCTGGAGGTGCAGGTTACAGGAGGTGGTCAAGTGGTGCTTGTTGGCCCAGAGGGGAGTGTGTTTTTCTGGGTAGGAGAGCTGGAGGTTGTCACCCCGGATGTGATCGATCATGCAGAGAGGGGGAGCGGCTGTGCCGATAATGAGGCTCTCTGCTGGGCATACCATTGGGGAATCCATTGGTACTTGAATGGGATACCACCTTGGAATACCTGGTGCTGTAAGCTTTTTGGCCGCATCAAGGTTCCATATCAGGGACCCCAGAGCCCTCAATTTTTCTAAGTCATGCTGCCATACCAGGCGCCCAGACAGCCTGTATAGCAGCACTTCTAGGATTGGTGCACTTCACCTTTATGTAAAAATGCAGCTCCAGGTGACTGTGAGAATCAGGTTTTATTAGTGTTTCTCAAGTCAATGTGATGTGTTGTGGTCCCTGAGGCCCCCATAAACACTTTAGTCCTTCAATCATAACCATAATGGGAAACTCCCCGGTTGGTTCAGGACGCTACGATACCTCACTCAATTATATGAACTGGAGAGTATTGTTTCTGCAAGTTTTGTCAAGACCCGATCAAAAGGAAGCATAGGTAGGCATGTGGTGTCAGCTCACAGCAAAACGGTCACATCGGATTGCTACTGTATACTGTATAAGCAGGCAGGTTCTTTGAGCTCTGCCAGCTTAAGGCCATACCGTTCTGAGAACGCCCGATTGGTCCTTGACACGCCCACTTTGTCAGTGAGTTTGTTTGGAGCACGTCGGCGGGAGCTTCATTATTTCCTCTTTTTTTCCTTCTTTTTCTTGTTTCTATCATCCTGAGTTTACATTTTTTGTTTGTTTCGGATTGAGTTTTTTTTTCCCTCCCCACAGTATTTCTACTGTTGGGGGGGTGATTTTGAGTTTTTTCCTTCCTAATGGATCGGAGTTTTAAAGACAGTCGGACGGATCACCTGGTTATTTCAAACATGGATCATCACGCGGACAAGAGAAAAGATGACGGACTGGTTTATAAAAGGGAGAAATATGAGAAGGAAAATACAGTACAAATCGAGATCTAAGGAGAGGAAAAGATTTCATCGCTGGAATTAAGGAAGAATGTGAGATTAATGTGCGGAGGATTGCTGGCCTGCCGGCTGATCACGGAAAAGAAATATGAAGTGACGATGAGCAGCGCAGCAGGGAAGAAATGTTTAATGGATGGATTTAAGATCGGCTCAACAAACATCATGGCTAAAGAACTGGTGAATGATGAACTGGTGGTCTCTTTTCTCGGGCTCCCCGCGTACATCACAGATGAGGAGATCCTGGAGAAGCTGCGCGGCTGGGGAGTGTCTGCAGTTTCGGCGATCAGACGGCGGTTCTGGCCGGGAACGAAGGTGGCGGATGGAACCAGGTTCGTGAAAGTTAAGTTCACAGAAACGGTGCAGTCTCTGCCTTATTCTGCTAGGTTCAATACAGCTCTAGGGCCTGAATATTTTAGAGTAATCCATGATAAACAGGTTAAAGTCTGTAGAATATGCATTCAGCCTGGTCACATCCTCAGAGAATGTCCTGAATTTTTTTGTCACTCCTGTGGAGTCCAGGGGCATTACGCGAGAGAATGCTCTGTTAAAAAGCAAAACAATAAGTGTCAAGTTTGTAGTAATTTTCAAAATAAATGCATCTGTAACAGAAGTGAGTCTGAAGATCAAGACAACCCAGTCTCATGGGAAAATGTACCCCCACTACGTTGGTCCACACTGCAAAACGTAGTGGAGGTACATTAATGGCCATTTTTTTGTGGTACTGTTACGTTTCTTCTACCTATACGCTTTCTATTGTTTTACGTCCTAGTCACGTGACTTTCAAGATTCCAGCTGGGAGAAGAAAAAAATATATATAGATGGCCGACATTCGCTCATTTTTTGTGGAAAGATTAATAACTTGAGTTTGTTTTTGCATTAAAATGAGTTTTGATTACATTTCTAGTGAGAAATGTATAGTTTGTTACCAGAATATTTACTCAGGGAATGTACATATTCACTTGCTTGTTCGTTTCTTGCAAAGATTTTTCAAGATAATGTGAAACTGTAACATTTTGGTATAAACATGGCTGAGATTTCTCTAACTTTTAGTGGGAAAATCAATTATTTCAATCAGTTTCTGCATTTAAATGGGTTTTGATTACATTTATAGCGAGAAGTGTAGGGTTTATTTACATAATATTTACTTAGTGAACATACATAATCACCCGCTTGCTAGTTTTTGCTACGTTTTTCGGATCTCGTCAGGATTATGTGAAATTGCAACGTTTTGGCTGCTACCCATCTCCTAGCATTTAGCTGCCGCCCCGATTCAACATTGAATTCTTTGTGATTTAACTCCATCTGACGGATCAAACCCTCGCCACTGCGGCGTTGCGTCTGAGGTTGATTTTCAGATCAATGCATTACGTCGTGGCATATGGGAGAAACTAATTAAATTAGTTTAAAAAAGGATCATGGGTTAAGATCGGATGTGTTTTATTTGGAAATCTACCGGATCCTTTGTGCATTTCACTTCCTGTTTGGTGCGATCTCATTGATGGGTTTTGACCAGATTTTGACCAAAGAGGAACAAAAAAAAAACAAAAAACAATTTAAATACACAACCAGCATATCTGGAATCAATGACAGAGAGCATACATAATCACCCGCTTGCTAGTTTTTGCTACGGTTTTTCGGATCTCGTCAGGATTATGTGAAATTGCAACGTTTAGGCTTCTACCCATCGCCTAGCATTTAGCTGCCGCCCCGATTCAACATTGAATTCTTTGTGATTTAACTCCATCTGACCGATCAAACCCTCGCCACTGCGTGCGTTGCGTCTGAGGTTGATTTTCAGATCAATGCATTACGTCGTGGCATACGGGAGAAACTAATTAAACTAGTTTAAAAAAAAGGATCATGGGTTAAGATCGGATGTGTTTTATTTGGAAATCTACCGGATCCTTTGTGCATTTCACTTCCTGTTTGGTGCGATCTCATTGATGGGTTTTGACCAGATTTTGACCAAAGAGGAACTAAAAAAAACAAAAAACAATTTGAATACACAACCAGCATATCTGGAATCAATGACAGAGAGCGACTGGGACCAGAAGTTTATTAATTTCTCCCCACTGATTTCCATTCAAAATGTTTTTGCTCCCACCGGGCTCTAGGGAAGGGGCGGACATACCGCCACCTACTGTTCATGAGTGTGTAGCAACATTGTTTTACATCTATTAAATTCTATTTTTTAATTTTGTATTCTGAAGATAAATAAATAATGCTTTCCTTAATCTATAAATATCTTTTATATTTCCTTTATTTCCCAATAATCCTTTAAGACTCCATTCTTGGCCTGTCCTCTTTTCAATTTCTTCCTTTCAGGTTCATATGTTTTGCAGTTCATCAATACATCTGCATTTTCTATCTCTCCACATCCTTCACATTTATCATTATTTTTCCTCCCTATTAAGTATAAATTGTCATTTAAATAAGTATGACCTACTCTTAATCTGATCATTATTATTTCTTCCCTTCGGTTTCTCTCATTAATATTTCTATTTAATACTGACTTTTGTACTTTATATAACCTTCTTCCTTTTTATCTTCATTCCACCTTTTTTTTTGCCATTTTTCAATTTCTTTCCTCTTAATAAATGATTTTCCTTCCCCTTTCCCTAAAGGAATTGTAATTGTTATTTGTCTACTTTTCATTCCAGCTAACTTTCCATTAATTAGCTTGAAAACAGCACTTTGTAGGCACCCAGTTTCTCTAACAATGGCCCTTTTTGGGTTACCCTCCATGCATTGGGTGTCAGTTCAGTGGCAGTTCCAGAACATTTTCTTAGGGTTGACCAGGCAGTACAATAATGTGCATGTGGCCAAAAAGTAATAGGGATCAAATTCGGTTCAGAGTCAAGCTATTGGGATCAGGCATCAGGTTCAATTTGCATATTTTCTTAGCCAAAACAAGGATTTGTTGGGCTACTGTAATTTTGAATTGAAAAACGTCCTGAATGGGAAGTCTTCAAACTTGAAAAACAAAGTCCAAAGTTTTTTTTTTTTTTTTTTTTTTTGGAATGATTATGACCTGGATGTCTAAGAATCTTCACCAGCTTATCAGGGAAATGAATGCCCACAATGTCTATATTCTCCAAAAGAGAATAACAGAACAGACCTTCATGAGGCCCTTGTTAAAGCTATGCATATATTTATGCATCTATGCTCATCAAATAACTTTCTGGTTCGACGCAACATTTACATTAAATGGGTTGAGAGGTTGTTCTTTACCAGTAAATACATAAAAGATTCCCAGATGACTGCCGATACAAACTCTCCCCTATAAAACCTAAAACTAATTCTTATAAGAGAGTAAAATCTGTATTAGTCTTCATTAAATGTAGCATATTGTTGTAAATAATCGATTGCTTTATTTTTGGTGTCAGCTTTTGGTCAATATGCTAACCTTAAAAGGTCAAAGTGGGAAAATGTAGTAGTAGTAGACAAATTAGCAATTAGAGGAGGCAATAACAATTACAATTCCTTTAGGGAAAGGAAAATCATTTATTAAGAGGAAAGACATTGAAAAATGGCAAAAAAGGTGGAATGAAGATAAAAAGGAAGAAGGTTATATAAAGTACAAAAGTCAGTATTAAATAGAAATATTAATGAGAGAAACCGAAGGGAAGAAATAATAATGATCAGATTAAGAGTAGGTCATACTTATTTAAATGACAATTTATACTTAATAGGGAGGAAAAATAATGATAAATGTGAAGGATGTGGAGAGATAGAAAATGCAGATGTATTGATGAACTGCAAAACATATGAACCTGAAAGGAAGAAATTGAAAAGAGGACAGGCCAAGAATGGAGTCTTAAAGGATTATTGGGAAATAAAGGAAATATAAAAGATATTTATAGATTAAGGAAAGCATTATTTATTTATCTTCAGAATACAAAATTAAAAAATAGAATTTAATAGATGTAAAACAATGTTGCTACACACTCATGAACAGTAGGTGGCGGTATGTCCGCCCCTTCCCTAGAGCCCGGTGGGATCGAAAACATTTTGAATGGAAATCAGTGGGGAGAAATTAATAAACTTCTGGTCCCAGTCGCTCTCTGTCATTGATTCCAGATATGCTGGTTGTGTATTCAAATTGTTTTTTATTTTTTTTAGTTCCTCTTTGGTCAAAATCTGGTCAAAACCCATCAATGAGATCGCACCAAACAGGAAGTGAAATGCACAAAGGATCCGGTAGATTTCCAAATAAAACACATCCGATCTTAACCCATGATCCTTTTTTTAACTAGTTTAATTAGTTTCTCCCGTATGCCACGACGTAATGCATTGATCTGAAAATCAACCTCAGACGCAACGCACGCAGTGGCGAGGGTTTGATCCGTCAGATGGAGTTAAATCACAAAGAATTCAATGTTGAATCGGGGCGGCAGCTAAATGCTAGGAGATGGGTAGCAGCCAAAACGTTGCAATTTCACATAATCCTGACGAGATCCGAAAAACGTAGCAAAAACTAGCAAGCCGGTGATTATGTATGTTCTCTGTCACTGATTCCAGATATGCTGGTTGTGTATTTAAATTGTTTATTTTTTATTTTTTGTTCCTCTTTGGTCAAAATCTGGTCAAAACCCATCAATGAGATCGCACCAAACAGGAAGTGAAATGCACAAAGGATCCGGTAGATTTCCAAATAAAACACATCCGATCTTAACCCATGATCCTTTTTTTAACTAGTTTAATTAGTTTCTCCCGTATGCCACGACGTAATGCATTGATCTGAAAATCAACCTGAGACGCAACGCCGCAGTGGCGAGGGTTTGATCGTCAGATGGAGTTAAATCACAAAGAATTCAATGTTGAATCGAGGCGGCAGCTAAATGCTAGGCGATGGGTAGCAGCCTAAACGTTGCAATTTCACATAATCCTGACGAGATCCGAAAAACGTAGCAAAAACTAGCAAGCGGGTGATTATGTATGTTCACTAAGGAAATATTATGTAAATAAACCCTACACTTCTCGCTATAAATGTAATCAAAAACCCATTTAAATGCAGAAACTGATTGAAATTATTGATTTTCCCACTAAAAGTTAGAGAAATCTCAGCCATGTTTATACCAAAATGTTACAGTTTCACATTATCTTGAAAAATCTTTGCAAGAAACGAACAAGCAAGTGAATATGTACATTCCCTGAGTAAATATTCTGGTAACAAACTATACATTTCTCACTAGAAATGTAATCAAAACTCATTTTAATGCAAAAACAAACTCAAGTCATTAATCTTTCCACAAAAAAATGAGCGAATGTCGGCCATATATTTATTTTTTTTCTTCTCCCAGCTGGAATCTTGAAAGTCACGTGACTATGACGTAAAACAATAGAAAGCGTATAGGTAGAAGAAACGTAACAGTACCACAAAAAAATGGCCATTAATGTACCTCCACTACGTTTTGCAGTGTGGACCAACGTAGTGGGGGTACATTTTCCCATGAGACTGGGTTGATCAAGATCAGGGCTCTGTTCAGTCAAACGCAGAGGATGAATGTGTGAGTGAAGGTGAGATGGAGGAGGAGCTGGAGATGGATGAGACAGGTGAAGGAGGAGAGGACAAACAGGAGGAAGTTCAGGAAATGAACTCCAGGCTGTCTATTGAGGCAGCTGATGAAGGGGATTCTCAGGCGGACCATCCGCCAGACTCAGCTTCACAGAAACACGGAGGGGAGGACCGGGGAGGAGTCGCTGCTCCTCCTCCCAGAGCAGAAGCACTAAACTCCCCAGAATCTCAGGTTTTGTCACCAAACCACCCGCCGTCCTTCCAGACTCCAGTCAAAAACCTGCCACACAAGTTAAAACTAGTCCCTGACATGGAAACAGACCCTGATCTTCATCTTGAGACTCTTGTTGAAACCAGGAAACGGCTTAATGCATTGATTGCGAAAAGACCGAAAAGGAAAACCAAGAAATTATGCATTTATTTATTTTCATATCTCTCAGTCTGTTGCTTCTCTCGCTAAATGCCCGTGGGCTCCGCAGAGAGGGGGAGAAAATTGAAGCGATAATTTATCAACGTAAGTATGAGATATTGTGTTTACAAGAAACAAAATGGGATGATATGAAAGAAAGAGAAAATACAAAAAAATGGAAAGGAACAATGTATTCATCCACCTCTGATAACTGTTCAGGGGGGGTAGCTGTCCTTTTTAAAGAAAATGTTGTGCAACACAGTGCTTTGGTTCATAAAGATAATGAAGGGAAATTAATTGTCATAGACTTTAGATACAATAATGTTAATTATAGATTAATCAATGTTCATGCACCAAATCTAGAAACACAGAGAAAAAGGTTTTTTGAAAACATCAGGAAGTGGATCACACATTCTACCATATTAATTGGAGATTTTAATGTCACACTAACAACTATTGACATTTCAATTAATTGTGTTTTTTCAGAAGATCCCAGCAGAAATGAACTGTTTAAACTCATAAGGAATAATGATTTGATAGATTTGTGGCGACTGTTTAACCCCAGAAAAAAACAATATACAAGAAAGCAAATTGTACTTGGTAAACTGAAACAATCCAGGATCGATTTGTGCCTGATGTCGTCTTCTCTTATCCCCGAGGTGTCGTCCTGTCTCATCAGAGAGACTGTCTGGAGCGATCACTCCTTCCTGGAGGTGGAGATGGGACGAGGCACCAGAAATGGGGGTCTGTGGTGTCTGAATGCCGCTCTTCTTCGGGATGGGACGTACAGAGATAAAATCGGTGTCCTCTTGCAGACCCTGAGTGAGGAAGTGGATCACACTGACAACTTGCTGGACTGGTGGGATCAAGCAAAACATAGAATCAAAAATATTACAATAAAATATAGCAAACAAAGGAAATGGAAGGAAAGGCAGACAGAACACAATCTAAGGAAACTAATAAATGTAGAATTAGACCAACTAGAAAATAATCCAACTAGAGACATTGCAAATTATATTCTATTGAAAAAACAGCTAGACCAGATTGAAGTTGAGAAATGCAAAGGAGCCATAATACGTAGTAAAGCCAGATTTCTAGCAGAAGGAGAAAAGTCTACAGCTTTCTTTTTAGGTCAAGAAAAACAGAAACAAATAAAAGCAACAATAACTGAATTAATTAATCATGAAGGGAAAAAAGTAATAGATTTAATAGACATTCTAGAAACCATACAACATTTTTATTCTAAACTTTTCACCAGTGACAACATTTCCTCAGAGAAAATAGAAAAGGTTGTCGGTGTGATCCAGTCCTCACTCTCTGAGGAGGATTGTCTCAGCTGTGATGCTCCAATCACAAGTCAGGAAATTCAACTCGCCATTGATTCATTAAACCACAATAAAAGTCCAGGGAATGATGGCATTACTGCAGAATTTTACAAACATTTCAAAGAGCAAATCAGTGGAATTTTATTTAAGGTTTTTACAGCCATGGAGCAAACAGGATGTACACCCAGGACCTTTGCACAAGGCGTTATCACCATTCTTTACAAAAATAAAGGAGAAAAACAGGATTTAGAAAACTACAGACCCATTAGTTTATTAAACACAGATTATAAAATATATGCAAAAGTTCTGGCAAACAGGTTAAAAGCAGTTGCAGGTAGTATCATCAGTTCATCTCAAGCAAACGGTATTCCTCACAGAAGTATTTCAGACACAATATTGTCAATAAATCATACTATCCAAACCATGTCAAGCACCCAAGGTATCTTTCTCAGCGTAGATTTTAGCAAAGCTTTTGACAGAGTAGAACACAATTTTCTATGGGCAGTTTTAAACAAGTTTGGATTTGGTCAGTCATTCATCAGCAGGTTACAGTTATTATATTCAAATGCAGAGAGTAAAATTAAATGTAACGGTCATTTCACAGATTTCATACGGTTACACAGGTCGGTCAGACAAGGGTGTCCTCTGTCCTCCCTGCTTTACAGCTTGGTGGCCGAGCCCCTCGCCCTCTTAATAGAACAGGACCAGAATATTCAAGGCATAGAATCACCACTTGGTAATATCAGTAAAATTTTCCAGTATGCAGATGACACATCATTAACAGTCAAAAATGAAGAGAGTCTAGAACTAGCAATCCAACATATTCACACATACGGTGTAGCATCCGGAGCTAAGATTAACATTTCAAAATCCCAAATCATGTACTTTGGTGGGGTGACTCGGACACCGGGCAGGTGGGATTTCAGGGAGACGGAGGACACCATCAAGGTCCTGGGTGTGCATCTTGGTAAACCGCATGGGGTGGCGAGAGATGAGACCTGGAAAAATGTTCTAACCAAAGTTCAACAGCTCTTAAACCTTTGGAAGCAAAGGAAACTAACCATCAAAGGGAAAACAGTAATAGTCAACAGTCTAATCATTTCAAAAATCATCTTTCCGCTTACCGTATATGATTTGCCAGGTTTAACACTCAATCAACTAAACACTAAGATTTCATCATTTATTTGGAAACAGTCAAGGAATCTGGTTGCCCATAATACAATGATTGCTTCATATAAACAGGGAGGACTCAAACTTATTGACATCGGAGCCAAAAAACAAGCCTTAAGAATAAAACTAGTTTCCAACTTCTTAACTTCACCCATTCATCAAACATGGCATGACTACTTTGAAGCTGCAATATCATCCTTTGGATTGTCCACCATTTTCAATTTATGCTCCATCACAACTCCGGTACAAAGAAGACAGCTAAACTTTTTTCATGCTGAAATCCTTGAATCCTGGAATAAAGTCAGACCATTTTTGTCAACAGACATGAAGTACACGTCTCATCTCTTGCTGCCAATTTTCAACAATCCAGAAGTGGTCTGCGGGAGCAGGATGCTGTATTTGCCGTCCTTGAGAGGGGTGGGCATTCACACCTTCGGGCAGATATTGGATGATCAGGGGTCAGTGGACATCGACAAAGTCTATAATCATTTTAAAGCGGCTAATATTTTTGTCAAAAAAACCACCATAGCTAAAAGTTGCCAAAATATCCAAGCCGCTCTGCCAAACCACTGGTCTCTGATCATTGATGGGAGGAGACGACATCAGGGAGTGCAGGATGATGCCCTTAATTTTCTTCTCACTCTAGGCAACAAGAAACAGCACATTCAAGAAATAAAAACAAAGACATGGTACAACATTCTCATTTCACTGATCATACAAGAACCAACATCCCACAATAAATGGTTGCTAATATTCCCTAACAAAATAGTTCAACAGATCTGGTCAAACTTACCTGCCAAATTTAATTCTCAACAAGCAAACAATACCGACTATTTATTAAGACACAGAAGGATTTTTACAGGCATCATCCTGCACCAAATCAACAAAGAAAAGTTCGGCAGAGATTGCACCGTTTGTCTCTCAGACCCCGAGACGCTTGAACACCTGTTCCTCCGCTGCCCTGCCCGTAGCATTTTTTGGGACAAGATTGCTGAGATAATGGAAAGTTTGGAACCGGGCATCAGCAAAGGAAAGAAAGAGTGGGACTGGATAAGACTTTTTGGAACACAGAAAAAAAGACAACTCTTTTCATCTGCATACCGTAAGCAATATAATCCTTTCTCTCGCAAGACACTCAGTATACATTTGCAGGAACTACAAACTCTTTGAACATAAGTCACTGGATTGCTGGAAACTGTTCATAGGACTTTTTGAAGATCACAGGAAAACACTCACAAGCACTCACAAACAACTTTCTCAGGACATTTTTGGACTGCTTAGTAAATGCAAATATTTTCAGGACTGGACAATGTGATTAATTTTGTGCATAACATAAATTTTTTCACTGTAGATAATTAAGAGCAAAAGTATTTTTTGTTGATATGGGTTTGTAACAAGTTTCTTTTTGTGTTTTTTTTTTCTTTGGTGTTTCTGTAAATGAGTAACAATGTTTGATTATTCCTTTTGTTCACTGTATATAGTTGCACCTATTCTTTTAAATTTAAATTTTATTAATAAAAAAAGATAAAAAAAAAAAAAAAAATTCCATCCTGAGAACGCCCGATCTCGTCTGATCTCGGAAGCTAAGCAGGGTCGGGCCTGGTTAGTACTTGGATGGGAGACCACCTTGGAATACCTGGTGCTGTAAGCTTTTTGGCCGCATCAAGGTTTCATATCAGGGATCCCAGAGCCCTCATTTTTTCAAAGTCATGCTGCCATACCAGGGGCCCACACAGCCTGCAGGCGTGTACTGCATGGTTTAGTCCGTGGGGGGGTGTTTAAGAGTGGGCCCACAGGACCTCCTGGAGGTGAAGGTTCCTGGAGGAGGTCAAGTGGTGCTTGTTGGCCCAGAGTGGACTGTGTTTCTCTGGGGAGGAGAGTTGGAGACTGTCACCCCGGATGTGATCGATCATGCAGAGAGGGGGAGCGGCTGTGCCGATAATGAGGCTCTCTGCTGGGCATACCATTGGGGAATCCATTGGTACTTGAATGGGATACCACCTTGGAATACCTGGTGCTGTAAGCTTTTTGGCCGCATCAAGGTTCCATATCAGAGATCCCAGAGCCCTCATTTTTTCAAAGTCATGCTGCCATACCAGGGGCCCACACAGCCTGTATAGCAACACTTCTAGGATTGGTGCACTTCACCTTTATGTAAAAATGCAGCTCCAGGTGACCCTGAGAATCAGGTTTTATTAGTGTTTCTCAAGTCAATGTGATGTGTTGTGGTCCCTGAGGCCCCCATAAACACTTTAGTCCTTCAATCATAACCATAATGGGAAACTCCCCGGTTGGTTTGGGACGCAACGATACCTCACTCAATTATATGAACTGGAGAGTATTTTTGTGTGGAGGACTTTTAGCATGTAGACTGTTAACGGACAAGAAATATGAAATAACTCTTAGTAATACCCAAGCAAAAAAAAGGCTTTTGGACGGCTTCAAAATGGGAACATCGACTGTCATGGCCAAAGAACTCACAAATGATGAACTGATCGTATCTTTTTTGGGACTACCAGCATACATAACCGACGAGGAAATACACAAGAAACTTCAAACCTGGGGAGTAAGAGCAGTTTCTGACATCAAGCGTCGGGTGTGGCCGGGAACCAAGATTGCGGACGGAACAAGGTTTGTGAAAGTTAAATTTAATGAAACTGTGCAGTCTCTGCCTTATTCTGTAAAATTTAACACTGCGTTAGGTCCAGAATATTTCAGAGTCATTCATGACAGACAAGTTAAAGTGTGTAGATTACAGGTGCTGGTCATAAAATTAGAATATCATGAAAAAGTAGATTGATTTCAGTAATTCCATTTAAAAAGTGAAACTTGTATATTATATTCATACATTACATACAAACTCATATATTTCAGATGTTTATTTTGTTTAATTTTGATGATTACAAATGACAACAAATGAAAATCTCAAATTCATCATATCAGAAAATTAGAATATTACCGAAGACCAATAAAAACAAAGGATTTATAGAAATGTTGGCCAACTGAAAAGTATGAACATGAAAAGTATGAGCATGTACAGCACTCAGTATTTAGTTGGGCCTCCTTTGGCCTGTATTACTGCAGCAATGCGGCGTGGCATGGAGTCGATCAGTCTGTGGCACTGCTCAGGTGTTATGATAGCCCAGGTTGCTCTAATAGTGGCTTTTAGCTCTTCTGAATTGTTGGGTCTGGTGTATTGCATCTTCTTCTTCACAATACCCCATAGATTTTCTATGGGGTTAAGGTCAGGAGAGTTTGCTGGCCAATTAAGAACAGGGATACCATGGTCCTTCAACCAGGTACTGGTAGCTTTGGCACTGTGTGCAGGTGCCAAGTCCTGTTGGAAAATGAAATCTGCATCTCCAAAAAGTTGGTCAGCTGCAGGAAGCATGAAGTGCTCTAAAACTTCCTGGTATGTGGCTGCGTTGACCCTGGACCTCAGAAAACACAATGGACCAACACCAGCAGATGACATGGCACCCCAAACCATCACTGACTGTGGAAACTTTACACTGGACTTCAAGCAACGTGGATGAAGTGCCTCTCTTCTTTTCCTCCAGACTCTGGGACCTTGATTTCCAAAGGAAATGCAAAATTTACTTTCATCAGAGAACATGACTTTGGACCACTCACCAGCAGTCCAGTCCTGTTTCTCTTTAGCCCAGGCAAGACGCTTCTGACGCTGTCTGTGGTTCAAGAGTGGCTTGACACAAGGAATGCGACAGCAGAAACCCATGTCTTTCATACGTCTGTGTGTGGTGGTTCTTGAAGCACTCACTCCAGCTGCAGTCCACTCTTTGTGAATCTCCCCCACATTTTTGAAGGGGTTTTGTTTCACAATCCTCTCCAGGGTGCGGTTATCTCTCTTGCTTGTACACTTTTTTCGACCACATCTTTTCCTTCCCTTCGCCTCTCTATTAATGTGCTTGGACACTGAGCTCTGTGAACAGCCAGCCTCTTTAGCGATGACCTTTTGTGTCTTGCCCTCCTTGTGCAAGGTGTCGATGGTCGTCTTTTGGACAACTGTCAAGTCAGCAGTCTTCCCCATGATTGTGTAGCCTATAGAACTAGACTGAAAGACCATTTAAAGGCTTTTGCAGGTGGTTTGAGTTAATTAGCTGATTAGAGTGTGGCACCAGGGGCCATCAATTTTGAACCTTTTCACAATATTCTAATTTTCTGATATGATGAATTTGAGATTTTCATTTGTTGTCATTTGTAATCATCAAAATTAAACAAAATAAACATCTGAAATATATGAGTTTGTATGTAATGTATGAATATAATATACAAGTTTCACTTTTTAAATGGAATTACTGAAATCAATCTACTTTTTCATGATATTCTAATTTTATGACCAGCACCTGTATGCTTACAACCAAATCATATTTTAAGAGACTGTCCTGAGTTTTTCTGTCACTCCTGCGGAGTCCAGGGGCATTATGCGAGAGAATGTTCTAGCAGGAAGAAAGAAAAGAAATGCATATTGTGTAACAATAAAATGGATAATTGCATTTGTAAAAAAAGTGAGGTTGAAGATCAAGATCAGGGTCCTGTTTCGTTTTCGGAAGAAACAGGAAATGAAAGTGCTGAGGTGAGTGAAATAGAGGATGGAGAGGAAGAAAGGGAAAGTGAGCAGGAGGAGATGTGCGAGGATGAAGGATGTGAAAATGGTCTGGATTTGGAACGGGCTGCTGCGGGTGTGCGCCCAGACTCGGAGGTGTCTGGGGTGCATGGTGCGGTTGTTCCGTCTCGGGTCGGCTGCTTGACGAATGCAGCCATTTTAAATCTGGTTGAGGAAGAGCGGGAAGAAGTTTCTGCTCTTCCTCCCGATGCAGAGACAGATATGTCACAATCCCCAATCCTGTCGCAGGATCAACTGCCACCCTTTCAAACCCATCATGAAGCTCTACCACAGAGACTTAAAATGGCTTCGGAAATGGATTCGGACCCTGATCTTGATCTTGCCAAAATTTTACATTCAAGGAAGCGACTTAGTACTTTGACAACGAAGAAACCCAAAAGGAAAAATAAAACACAATGATCAAAGTAATCTGCTCTTTCATAACAATACTTATGATACTTCTCTCGCTTAATGCCCGTGGGCTCCGCAGAGAACATAAAGCAGATGCTATTATTTTTCAAACATCTTTTGATATTCTTTGTTTGCAAGAAACCAAATGGGATATTTTGAAAGAAGAAGAAATGTCAAATAAATGGAAGGGGAAAATGTTCTCATCTGTATCTGGTACAAATGCAGGTGGGGTGGCTACATTTTTCAGAGAGGGTTTGTTGTGTAATTGTCATTTGATCTATAAAGATAATGAGGGGAGATTGTTAATTGTAGATTTCTTTTATAAAAATAAATTATGCAGGTTGATCAACATTCATGCACCAAATATAGACACACAAAGGAAAAGATTCTTTCAAGATTTAAGAAAATGGTTCACAAAAAATTGTATTATAATAGGAGATTTCAACATAACACTCACAAAATCGGATATTTCAAATAATTGTACGTTTTCTGCAGATTCTAGCAGAAGCACACTGTTTGACATCATCACACATAATAGTTTAATAGATATTTGGAGACTTTTTAATCCAGGAAAGAAACAATTCACAAGAAAACAAATAATTTTAGGAAAGTTAAAACAATCAAGACTTGACTTGTGCCTGATCTCGTCTTCTCTTGTCCCCGAGGTGTCGTCCTGTCTCATCCGAGACAACGCCTGGAGCGACCACTCCTTCCTGCAGGTTGAGATGGGACGAGGCATCAGAAATGGGGGTCTCTGGTGTCTGAGTGCTGCTCTTCTTCAGGATGAAGCTTACAGAGGTGAAATCGGCGTCCTGCTGCAGACCCTGAGTGGGGAAATGGATCACACTGACAACCTGTTAAAATGGTGGGATCAGGCAAAATCAAGAATCAAAAATTGTTCAATAAAATATAGTAAACAAAAAAAAAGAAGAGAGATGCATGATGAAAATATCCTAAGAAGAAAGTTAAACATTGAATTGGATAAACTTGAAAATGATCCAAGCAGAGATATCACGGATTATGTAGTAATCAAAAAACAACTTGATCAAGTAGAAATAAACAAATGTAAAGGAGCCATTATTCGCAGCAAGGCTAAATATTTAACAGATGGTGAGAAATCTACAGCTTTCTTTCTTGCTCAGGAAAAGCGTAAACAAATGAATGCAACGATAAATGAATTAATAAATGAGAAAGGGGAGAAAGTATCAGACATAACAAGCATCTTAGAAACAATTCAGACTTTCTACTCTAAGCTTTTCACAAGTGAAAACATTTCTGAGGAAAAAATAAATCAGGTTGTCGGTGTGATCGATTCCTCACTCTCTCGGGAAGACAGTCTCTGCTGCGATGCTCCGTTGACAGAGGAAGAAGTTCAACATGCCATCAATTCTTTAAACAACAATAAAAGTCCTGGACATGATGGCATTACTGCTGAATTCTACAAACAGTTCAAAGATCAAATTAGTAAAATATTATTGCAGGTTTTCTCTGTCATGGAGCAGACGAGGTGCACACCCAGGACTTTTTCACAAGGGGTCATAACTATTCTTTACAAAAATAAAGGGGACAAAAACAATTTAGAAAATTACAGACCCATCAGTTTATTGAACACAGATTACAAAATATATTCCAAGATACTAGCAAACAGGTTAAAATCAGTCATAGGTACCATAATTAGTTCATCTCAAGCCTACGGCATTCCTGAAAGAAACATTTCCGATACAGTATTGTCAATAAATCAAACTATTCAAACCATGGTCAATTCACAAGGAATATTTCTCAATGTAGATTTCAGCAAAGCATTTGACAGGGTAGAACACAATTTTCTATGGGCAGTTTTAAATAAATTTGGATTTGGTCAGTCATTTATCAGCAGGTTACAGTTATTATATTCAAATGCAGAAAGTACAGTTAAATGCAATGGCCACTTCACAGATTACTTCCGATTATACAGATCAGTCAGACAGGGGTGTCCTCTGTCCTCCCTGCTCTATAGCCTGGTAGCTGAGCCCCTCGCCACCTTGATTAAACAGGATAAAAACATTCAAGGTATAAAATCACCACAAGGTAACATCAGTAAAATATTTCAGTTTGCGGATGACACATCAATAACAGTTGAAAATGAAAGCAGTCTGGATTTAGTCATTACCCATTTGCATACTTATGGTTCAGCTTCAGGGGCAAAAATCAATACAACTAAGTCAGAAATCATGTATTGCGGCGAGGCGGCTCGGACGCCGGGAAGATGGGAGTTTAGGGAGGTGGAGGACACGGTCAAGGTCCTGGGTGTGTATCTCGGTAAGCGGCAAGAAGCAGCGAGAGACGAGACCTGGAAAAGCACTACCATAAAAGTTCAGAAACAACTCAACCTGTGGAATCAAAGGAATTTAACCATTAAAGGGAAAGTAGTCATCTTAAACAGTTTAATCATTTCAAAAATAATTTATCCGCTCAGTGTTTACGAACTCCCAAATCAAGTGCTCAATAAATTCAACAGTCAAATCTCAAACTTTATCTGGAAAAGCAAAAGTAATTTAATTAGTCACAAAACAATGATTGCTCCATATAAAGAAGGAGGACTCAAATTAGCAGATATTCAATCCAAAAAACAAGCAATAAGAATCAAACTTATCGCCAGGTTTCTAACGTCTCCAGTTAAACACGTCTGGCATGATTATTTTCTATCTCATTTGCAATCTTTTGGTACAAAAAATATCTTCAATCTATGTTCAATCTGCAGTTTAAAACAAACACAAATAGACGGTTTCTTTGCAGAATGCTTTGATGCTTGGAATAAAATCAGATTTCAGTTAATAACCCATATCAATTACAGGTCTTGTCTCTGGCTGCCGATTTTCAACAATCCTGAGGTGGTCTGCGAAGGCGGGATGCTGAATTTCACATCTTGGAGAAGAGCTGGCATTCACACCTTTGGGCAGGTTTTGAATGATCAAGGATCAGTGGATATTAACAAAATTTTCAATCTTTTCAGAATATCCAGATTACCCTACAAAAGAAGCACCATTGTACAGAATGCTAAAAAGGTTCAGGCCGCTTTGCCTTTCCACTGTTCTTTGATCATTGGCAGGAGAGGACGACATCAGGAGGTGCAGGATGACACCCCGACCTTCCATTTCATAACCGGTATTCAAAAAGTAAATATTGGCTCAGTTTCAACAAAAAAATGGTATCAAATTCTCATCTCCCAGACTGTTAAAGAGCCGGCATCACATAAACAATGGTTAATACTTTTCCCCAGCATACCAGTATATAACATTTGGTCAAATTCTTTTTACAAATTAAATCATCATCAAGCAAATAATACAGATTTCTTATTAAAACATAGAAGGATTTTTACGGGCATCATCCTGCACCAAATAAACAAGGAAAAGTTTGGCAGAGACTGCACAGTTTGTCTTTCAGACCCTGAGACCCTCGAACACCTGTTCCTCCGCTGTCCCGGCTGCACCCTCTTCTGGGAAAGGATCCATCATCTCATCAAAAGCATCTTCACAAATCTTCTGTTGAACAAGAATGAATGGGACTGGATAAGACTTTTTGGATTTCGCAAACCATATGGACAGCTGACAAAGTATCAACTCTACCTCTGCAACATAAGCTCTTACATTTTAGCTTGAATTGATTTATTTAATTAAAGTATAGAGACCAAAACAGATCTTTAGCTGACAGAGCAATACATTTAGAGCAGTAATTATAAAAAAAAAAAATTGCATTTAAGATAAAAAATAAAATGTTGTCTGTCAATATGCTCAATTCACAATTACTTAAGTGGAAAAGTTTCAAGAAATTAGTCTGAGATGATTCACTTTATAACATGGCACATTATCCTGTTGGAAGTAGCCATCAGAAGATTGGTACACTGTGGTCATAAGGTCCGGCCAGGTCAAGATCCGCAATTGCAATCGCACCAAACAGGAAAAAGAACATCGACAAATTCCAGTTCGTCAAATTAAAATATAGCAGCAACAGATCGGTGACTAGAAATTATAGCACAATTCTTATATATATAAAAAAAAAAAAAACTAACACAGTTTATTTAAATGATTGGATCCAAACTATTGGTTATTCACCAACGAGGAAGCAGATTTCTCATCTCCATCAAAATATTTATTTTATACCGAGGGACTTAAACTTTAATCAAATCCATTCAAAAGAAACTTCTTATTACAGGAATGAAAAGAGATGCTGAGTTTGGGAGTAGTGAACAAGTTCATTCAAAAAAAGCAGTTTTGGATTATCCTTATCCCCGTTACAAAAATCTACAAAAATATATATATATATTTGGGCAGAAACTGAACATATGCTAGATGATGGTGAGATTTTTTTAATATGTCATATTAAATTAAGCGCTCACAGGGTTCATACAGGAATGAGTGACTCTAATTTAATGCTATTTTAATGCTATTTGAAATGATTTTAATGTCATCAACAAGAACCATGTACACAAGTTATTAGTGTACATGAAATATGAAGGAGCTGTAAGCGTTCCATGACTCCTGTATGTATATAAACACACATATATACGTATATATATATCCTCTAGCTTTTTCTCCGCCTGAAACGATATAATATATCTGATAATAAGCATTTTTTATTAAAGAATTATAAATACTTCGATTAACATATTTAAATAATTTTAGTGCCAATTAAGGCCTTGATTTAAAAAAAAAGAATGATTTTTTAATTATTTTTATTGATCCGCGGAAACCCTGGTTCATCTCGCGCATGCTCTTTACGATCTCCAAGAAACTCAGAGCGGCGTGGTGTGCAGCCACAGTGGAGGATGTATGCTTTGCTTTGTGCAGGCGGTCTGGAGCGGAGTATGTGGGATTTCGGGGTAAAACTCCTCTTGGACGCGATGGCGACTCTGCATCGAACAAGACGAACTCAAAGAAGAGATGCTAGCGGTAAATATATGTTCGATTACTGCCTGCTAAGCTAAAAGCAGCCTAGCCTAAGCTACGGCTAATAGCGGCTAATAGTAGCCTTGCAAGAACAAGCTTTATTTAAGTGTATTTTTTGTGATTCACAGGAAGCAGTACGCCGTCTTCACAACTCGGAGACTAATTGCAGGCGCTATGAACCGGAGCAAGGGTAAGATTTAAAGAATATGCTTTCATTCTGCGGTAAAAGGCAATGGATACGGATAGATACCGATCATAGCTGTACATTTTGTTTTCACAGACCTCCTATTTGCTCGGAGCCATATCAGCAAGTCCAGATTTGCACGATGTTGATAAAGACGACACTGTGTGTAAGTGACTTGTTTTAATGTTTTCTCCTTCCTTTTTACTGTGACTTGCGTTTGATTTTTTTATTCATACCACTCTCATTTAATTGTTTTCCAGCTGCCTGTAAGACGTATTTTCAGACGGTACGCAGGAGCTTCAGATATACGCTGCCAGCCAACATGTTGCTTGCGGAGGCTGCCAAGCAATCTGCTCGGAGTCGGGCCAGAAGAAAGAGGGTAAGACTTTATTTGGTGACTATTTTTCAGGTGCATTGATAGATGTGTTGTGTTCATACGCAGTGCGCTGATTCATTGTTTTTTTTTCAGCTGCTGAAAGCGAGGCAGAGTGTGCTAGCAGATGAGGAAGTGGAACTCTGTAAGTCCGCCACCGTCGACCTCATGTCCGACGAAGAAGAAGGCGTCGTCGGCGGTGTCTCTGGATGGATTGTACGGTCGCCGCCATTTCGTAGGCCGGATCTCTCTGAACTCTATGTTAATCTGCAGTCCCAGTTAGAAGCAATGCCGAAGTACAGGGCCACGCACAGTAGGCGTCTGCACATCGGACCTGCCTCGGAGGGAATGCTGCCAGTTACCTCCAACCCCGAGGAAGCAGCGGACCATTCACGGACTTTTTGGATACGCATGTGTTTGGATAAGCGTTGTATATAGTTGTGTGTGTTTTAATAAAGCTCTTTCTT